AAGATTAAAGAGGGAAAAAGTTGGGAAAAGTGTGAATAATTAAGGTAATGAATTTATTATAACTCCTCCTTTATTTTTCTTCTACCATATGAGATATATATCATGGGAAGAATCCTTAAGAGGGTTCTACATGTTATAAGTATGGATTAATGGGTTGGAAAGTGATTCTATGTCCAAGAACGGACTTAGAAGCCAAAACGACCGGTTCACCGGAAAACAACCGTTTTGAGGTTATTTGTATTAATATGGGTTTTATGATTATAAAACCTTGTTAGGAACTTGTGAAAGGTATTTCAAGTGATTTCACAAAGTTGGAAGAGTCGCCGGAGTTGTCGCCGGAGTTGACCAAAAGTCGCCGGAGTTTCACCGGAGTTCAACCAAGAAGGGTAGAACTTCATAACGCTAGTTCAAGGTGAGTGGACGGCTTAATATCTTATAACTTTTGGGTTAATTATAAGATTACCTAAATAAATGTTATAAGTGTTCATAATGATGTTTAAAAGATATTTAAACATGTGATTAGCCAACATAGATAAGTTTGTATGAAAAGAATTAATTGTTTATACATGAAACATGATATGAGAAATAATATGAAATGCATATTTGTTGGGAATGTCAAAGAAGCACAAATGATTATTATTAACTTATTTATATGATGATTAAGTTGATATGTACAAGGCTTGAATGGCGGTCAACGACAACGTTGACCGATGGATAGTGGATTAATTAATGTCGGTTGATATTAGTTAATTGTACATTTATATAATTGCATGGATTTGCATGGATTGTGATACATAAGCTTTATGTAGTGAATTAGTTATGAATGACTAAATATGATATAGACCCTATCTAGCGTGATATGTGGTAAGTCATAGGTCGGGTGGAGTACCCAAGGATCGGGCGGTTATCCTCAAAACTCAATTATAGGGTGGAGTACCCAAGGATCGGGCGTGTATCCTCAAAACTCATAGATTACATTTAATGATCTAGGATCGGGCGGTGTCCTTATGATAATTTATTTGAACAAGGAGGAGTCCTATACACTCATAGGTATATGGGTGGGTTGGGATTTAAGTCAAGGATATTGGCTACTATTATTTTCCCAAATAAACAATGACCTACGGGTCGGGTATTTCCAAGTGTATGTATACTAATATGTATTTCAAACTTGGGGGAAGGACTATACGTATATGTATCATCCTATGTTTGGGTCTTATACTTGAAACGCTAGTTATTCCATATTTAGCCTGCTACTCGCTCGGTACTTGTACTGACCCCTTCGGGGGGCCCCACCATTTTCAGGTTGAAGCTAGGGCTTGCTACCTGCACCTTTCTACGGGTGACATCAAGTCAAGGAAGACGTGGTTCGTGCTTCCTCATTCCCTTTCAAATGACTAAACATTGCTCATGGATATTTTTATTTGTTATAAACTATTTTTGGGGCTTGCATGCCCATGTTGTTGGCCGGTTGTGGCTTATGACTTACCGTTGAATATTTCCGCTATTCATTGGTTTAATGTGATGTTGTTATGTATGTTTACTACTGAGTATGGATGGATTATATTCTCGAACGCCTTGTGTAATTAAGTGAGGTTGACTCGCGGGTGACATCACTTGGTTATACGGCGGTTGTACACGCGCTTGGATTGCGGTCTGGGGCGTGACAATTAAGTGGTATCAGAGTCATCTCAGTTCTAAACTATATAATCAACCTCTCACAAAAGATTTTACAAAAGAGTTTCTACCGAAAACCATGAGCATTGTATTTTGACGTTTATAGGACTATTGGTGCTTAAGTTGCAAGGCCTCTAATTGTTAAGATGGTACCCTTAACAATTGGTATGGTAGTGACTTGGGCCAATACGTGTCTGTAACGTTCTTCCGTCAGTTGACATTTATAGGAGTCTAACGACTCATCCATATTTCTTTCAGAAATGGAGGGCAGGCGAATGCGGACCAGGAACAATCCGAGGGGGCAGGCGCCGGTAACATCCCAAAGGGGAAGCCGGGCTGCATCTCGGGGTTCAAGAGGAGGCCGTGGAGGCCGTGGAAGCCGTGGAGGTCATCAAGCTCAAACTGTGAGTGATGGCCATGTAAGCTCGGTGTATGAAACCAACACCGAGGACTATGACTCTACGTATGTTCCTGAGACAGAGCATGAGGAGACCCCATATGATGGAGGTGACACATACACCGATGAGGACAATGATGAAAGTGATGCCCGTTTCGCCCAAATGGGTGAATTACTTGAGTGGTATCAAAAGGAGAAACTGAGGAGAGACCTTAGGCGCCAAGCGAGGCGTGGCTCTCGTGGTGGTTCGGGTCAAGGGAGCCGGGGAGCTTCCGTGGCCACCCCAGCGGCGTCACAAGGTGGGCGTGAAGGAGGTTTTGTTGTGAGAATCTCCAAGTACCTCAAGGAGGCTAGGGCCTTGGGGTGTAGGTCCTTTGACGGCACCGGTGACATTACCGTTGCCGCCGATTGGATTAAGAAGGTGAAGGATGCATCAAGAGACATGCAAATCACACCGGACGTGAAGTTGACTGTCGCTTCACGGCTACTTGAAGGGATAGCCTCTACGTGGTGGGAGAGCGTGGAAGGGAAGTACCATGGGGAAATAACATGGGCGGACTTTGAGCTAGAGTTCTATGCTCAATACTACTCCGAGTACGAGGTGAATGTGAAACGGAGAGAGTACACTAACCTCAAACAGAAAGATGGCGGCACGGTTAAGCAGCTGGAACAAGAGTTTAGAACCTTGGCGAGGTTCTTGCCAGAGTACGCGGTTGATGAAAACCGCATGACGGAGCACTTCTGGGATGCATTACTCTTGGACATCCGCGACCGAGCTACATACTCTCGCCACATGTCATTTAGCGAGGTGGTGGAACAGGGTCTTCTTGGAGAGGCCCAGTGGAATGAGAGGAAAGCAAGGGACGCCGAAGAGGCGAAGAAGAGGAAGTGGAATAATTCGGGGCCACCCGATCATTCTCGAAGAAACAACCACGGGGGTGGTGGTGGTGGCGGTGGTTCATTCAAGGCGCCGGCCCCACCGGCAAAGAAGAACAGGGATGCGAGGTGGCACGGACCTAGGCCACAGAACTCGGGGCCACCTAGATGTCCCAGTTGCTCAAAACAACACTTTGGGAAGTGCAATGAACCACCGAGGTGTTTTAAGTGCGGGAATGCGGGCCATATGAAGGCCAATTGCCCTCAATTGATGCAAGAGAGTGCCTCGGGAGCCGGGGGAGGGACCATGACGGGAAGGAACCGTGCGGGACCGTCAAACGGCGGCACGGGAAGAGGCGGCGCATCCACAAGTCATGCCGCATCCGTCAACCAAGGTGGGACCCAAGCCCGAGTGTACGCGATGACCGAGGCGGATGCGAGAGCAAACCCGGACTCCGTTGCAGGTAATACACGTATTCCCATGTATTTCTAGGCTTACTTTGATCATATCCGTCGTTGAGATTGAGTGCGGGCCACCCCGGGGTCGAACCGGGTGAGTTAGGCCAAATCGGACTGGAAACAGCCACTGCTGGCCAGGCACGCCCGCAGGCACGCCGTGCCTGGCGTCGTGCCTGGAGGGCAGTGGCACCCGAAGAGAAAGAAAAAAAAAAAAAAAAAAAAAAAAAAAAAAAAATTGGGCCAGGCACGCCGTGCCTGGCGTCGTGCCTGGGAGGCAGTGTCGCCCCGAAGGAATTCGGCCAGGCACGGCCACAGGCACGCCGTGCCTGGCACCGTGCCTGGGAGGCAGTGTTGAACAGGAAGGATCCGATGCACGCACGGCCGTGCGTGCCACCCAGGCACGCCGTGCGTGGACCCCAGAACCCGGAAATCGGATTTTTCCGCCCCGTTCTTCTACGTTTGGACTCCCGTTTGATTCCAAACATTAGTATGAGCCTAATAACCTCCTAAAGACGTGTAAAAACATTAGAAAATGTATCTTACATGGTGTATAAATGTAGGAACATTAAAGATCAATGGTAGGTGTGCGAGGATCCTCATCGATACCGGGGCACAACGCTCATTTGTGAGCGAGGCGTTTGCTGAGGGGCTCGACGTGCCATTGATGCCTATGACACAAACATTGCTAGTCTCCACACCGTTAGGAGACGACGTGGAGAGGGATCATTACTATCCTTCGTGTGAGGTAGAAGTGACGGGTCAACCTTTGACTTGTGATTTCGTACCTCTGAGCATGTTGGAGTTCGATGCAATCCTAGGAATGGATTGGCTCGAGAAACACCATGCCCGGGTGGATTGCTACACCAAGGTGTTGGAGCTTGAGGATGATCAAGGGAATATGCTACGTTTTGAAGGAGATCGGGGAAAATCTAATGCTTGTATCATATCCGTGATGAGAGCACGAAAGATGATGAGGAAGGGATGCCACGCATACCTTGCTTACGTGATAGATGATACGAAGAAAGAAGTCGACATCAAGGATGTTCGAGTCGTGTGCAAGTACCCGGACGTCTTTCCCAAGGACCTACCGGGGCTTCCACCCGATAGAGAGATTGAATTTGTAATCGAAGTGGAGCCGGGAACCAAACCCATTTCGATTCCTCCTTATCGAATGGCACCGGCCGAACTTCAAGAGTTGAAGGTCCAACTACAAGAGCTACTGGACAACGGGTTCATCAGACCCAGTCATTCACCGTGGGGAGCACCCGTACTCTTCGTAAAGAAGAAAGATGGTACGCTACGAATGTGTATCGACTACCGACAGTTGAACAAGGTCACAATCAAGAACAGGTATCCTTTACCTAGGATTGATGACTTGTTTGATCAACTTCGAGGGGCCATAGTATTCTCGAAGATTGACTTGAGATCGGGGTATCATCAGTTGAAGATCAAGGAGAGTGACATACCTAAGAGTGCATTTCGCACTAGATATGGTCACTACGAGTTTCTTGTGATGTCATTTGGTTTAACCAATGCACCGGCAGCATTCATGGACTTGATGAACCGGGTGTTTAGTGAATACTTAGATCAATTTGTGATAGTATTCATTGATGATATCTTGATATACTCCAAGAGTGAGGAGGAGCACGAACATCATTTGAGGCTTATACTTGATCGGCTAAGGGAAAAGCAACTCTTTGCCAAGTTCTCTAAATGCGAATTTTGGCTCAAGGAGATTGGTTTTCTCGGTCACGTCATATCCGGTTCGGGCGTAGCTGTGGATAACGCCAAGATAAAAGCTATCATGGATTGGGAGAGACCCAAGAATGTGAAAGAGATACGTAGTTTCCTTGGCCTAGCGGGATACTATCGTAAATTTGTTGAGAAATTCTCCGTATTGGCGTCTCCATTAACGAAGCTCACAAAGAAAGGGGCCAAGTTCATATGGGACGATAAGTGCGAGAAGGGGTTCCTTGAATTGAAGAAACGACTTACCGAAGCACCAGTCCTGGCCCTACCCATACAGGGTATAGGGTACGACATTTACAGCGATGCTAGCATCCAAGGGCTTGGTTGTGTACTAATGCAAAACGGTAAGGTGATTGCCTATGCTTCTAGGCAATTGAGGAAACACGAGGTGAACTACCCCACTCACGATCTAGAGTTGGGGGCGGTGGTGTTTGCATTGAAGATTTGGAGGCATTATCTCTACGGGGAGACGTGTCACATTTTTACTGATCATAAGAGCTTGAAGTATGTATTCACTCAGAAAGAGTTGAATATGAGGCAGAGGAGATGGATGAAGTTGATCAAGGACTATGACTTGATCATCGACTATCATCCCGGAAAGGCCAATGTAGTGGCCGACGCACTGAGCAGAAAGAGTACGTCAGGGACGCTACTCACATGTCTACAGGCATTGAGGGCACACGTGGAGGTATCCACGAGCGGGGCGCTCATTGCTAGATTCGAGGTGAGGCCTACATTGCTGAGTGAGATCAGTAGATGTCAGGCCATTGATGAGGAATGTCAGAAGATCCGCGAACGGATCCTTGAGGGGCCCGTCGAGAATTTTCGGGGACGTGGTGACGGTCTTTTATTATTTAAGGATCGTGTGTGTATACCAAAGAATGAGGAGCTCCAGAGGGCTATACTTGAGGAGGCTCATTCTTCAGCATATGCCATGCATCCAGGGGGTACTAAGATGTACCGAGATCTGAAGGAAAGTTACTGGTGGTCAGGCATGAAGAAGGATATCGCAGAGTTTGTGAGTCGATGCCTTACTTGCCAGCAAGTTAAGGCAGAGCATCAACACCCAGCAGGGCTCTTACAACCGCTCACCATCCCAGAGTGGAAGTGGGAACATGTGACCATGGACTTCGTGGTGGGGCTGCCACGAACAGTGAACAACTACGATGCCGTATGGGTAGTGGTTGATAGGCTCACCAAGAGTGCACACTTTCTGCCTATCAACATTACCTATCCTCTTGAAAGATTGGCCAAGCTATACACGGAGGAGATTGTGAGATTACATGGAGTCCCAATATCCATTGTCTCGGATAGGGATCCACGATTCACATCCCGATTTTGGCCAAAGTTTCAAGCATCTTTGGGGACTAAACTGAAGTTTAGCACAGCTTTTCACCCACAGACCGATGGACAGTCCGAGCGGGTGATACAGATTTTGGAAGACATGCTTAGGGCATGTGCTTTGGAGTTCCAAGGAAGTTGGGACAAGCATTTGGCCCTAGTGGAATTTGCCTATAACAACAGTTATCAGGCAAGTATCGGCATGCCCCCATATGAGGCATTGTATGGGAGGAAATGCAGAACACCATTGTGTTGGGACGAGGTTGGCGAGGCCAAACTCGAAGGGATAGAGCTGGTTGAGATCACCAAGGCCAAGGTGAGGATCATTCGGGATAGACTGAAGGCTGCTCAGGACCGACAGAAGAGTTATGCTAATAAACGGCGGAGACCGTTGGAGTTCGAAGTCGGTGATGAGGTCTTCCTAAGGATTTCTCCTTGGAAGGGCATCATCCGATTCGTATCGAGGGGGAAGCTTAACCCCCGATACATAGGTCCGTTTGAGATCCTTGAAAGGATCGGGGCCGCGGCTTACCGACTCAAGTTGACGCCTGAACTTGAGAAGATACATGACGTGTTTCATGTATCAATGCTCAAGAAGTACATACGAGACCCATCTCATATTCTTGAGAGACCACCGGTAGAGATCCGTGAGGACTTGCAATATGCGGTGTAACCAGTGAAGATTGTTGGTCAACAGGTGAAGAAGCTTAGGAATAAGGAGATTCCTATGGTAAAGGTCCTTTGGAGGAGTGATCGAGTCGAAGAAGAAACTTGGGAGACCGAGGTCTCCATGAGGGAGCAATACCCATTTCTTTTCGATTAGATACTTGGATTTCGGGGACGAAATCCCAAATAAGGGGGGGTGAACTTGTAACACCGTCCCCAAATATATTTACTTTTATGTAAATAATGTATCGAACCTTATTAAAGGATTAATGAATTTACGAAGTTGTAAATTTTTATTATTTCTTTCGCGTGAATAGTAAATTGCACGTGGGACCCACACCGGGAGCGGGGGCCGCCCGACACTCCCGAGACAACATATTTATTCATCTTGGTCAAGATAATATTTATATAGTGGTGGATATTTTATTTGGGTCGTGGAAAGGCGCAGAGTTGACCGATTGGGAAAAAGAGGCCCAATTACCGTACCGACAATTCAACGAATAGCAGCCCAGAAATGAATTCCGGAGACTTCCGAATTAACGTTTTGGAATATATATTATTTCAAAGGGGCGTTATGATTGGGAACACATAATATACTTTATTTTACCCGATAAAATAAATTGTGATTAAAACAGTCCGAAAAATACAACTTTCGGGACCGATTGTACACATCGGGACACAAAGGGATGACCTCCCACATGAGTGGGGGCCACCCCACGTTTTTGTGTGCTCAACAAGACCTATTGGGGCTGGAATGACCAAAGGATATGTGGAGGAGGATCATTTGGCATCTATAGTACCAAGGAGGACCCCTCACCCTCTCTTATTTGTCATTTGAGACAAAAGTGGGTGTCCTCTCTCCCACCTATCATCAACTTCGACCAACCCCATAAAGAAAGGAGAAGGAAGCTCTCAAACCATCCTCCATAGCTGCAAAATTCGAGCTCAAGCATAAGTGCTCAAAGAAGGAAGATTAAAGAGGGAAAAAGTTGGGAAAAGTGTGAATAATTAAGGTAATGAATTTATTATAACTCCTCCTTTATTTTTCTTCTACCATATGAGATATATATCATGGGAAGAATCCTTAAGAGGGTTCTACATGTTATAAGTATGGATTAATGGGTTGGAAAGTGATTCTATGTCCAAGAACGGACTTAGAAGCCAAAACGACCGGTTCACCGGAAAACAACCGTTTTGAGGTTATTTGTATTAATATGGGTTTTATGATTATAAAACCTTGTTAGGAACTTGTGAAAGGTATTTCAAGTGATTTCACAAAGTTGGAAGAGTCGCCGGAGTTGTCGCCGGAGTTTCACCGGAGTTCAACCAAGAAGGGTAGAACTTCATAACGCTAGTTCAAGGTGAGTGGACGGCTTAATATCTTATAACTTTTGGGTTAATTATAAGATTACCTAAATAAATGTTATAAGTGTTCATAATGATGTTTAAAAGATATTTAAACATGTGATTAGCCAACATAGATAAGTTTGTATGAAAAGAATTAATTGTTTATACATGAAACATGATATGAGAAATAATATGAAATGCATATTTGTTGGGAATGTCAAAGAAGCACAAATGATTATTATTAACTTATTTATATGATGATTAAGTTGATATGTACAAGGCTTGAATGGCGGTCAACGACAACGTTGACCGATGGATAGTGGATTAATTAATGTCGGTTGATATTAGTTAATTGTACATTTATATAATTGCATGGATTTGCATGGATTGTGATACATAAGCTTTATGTAGTGAATTAGTTATGAATGACTAAATATGATATAGACCCTATCTAGCGTGATATGTGGTAAGTCATAGGTCGGGTGGAGTACCCAAGGATCGGGCGGTTATCCTCAAAACTCAATTATAGGGTGGAGTACCCAAGGATCGGGCGTGTATCCTCAAAACTCATAGATTACATTTAATGATCTAGGATCGGGCGGTGTCCTTATGATAATTTATTTGAACAAGGAGGAGTCCTATACACTCATAGGTATATGGGTGGGTTGGGATTTAAGTCAAGGATATTGGCTACTATTATTTTCCCAAATAAACAATGACCTACGGGTCGGGTATTTCCAAGTGTATGTATACTAATATGTATTTCAAACTTGGGGGAAGGACTATACGTATATGTATCATCCTATGTTTGGGTCTTATACTTGAAACGCTAGTTATTCCATATTTAGCCTGCTACTCGCTCGGTACTTGTACTGACCCCTTCGGGGGGCCCCACCATTTTCAGGTTGAAGCTAGGGCTTGCTACCTGCACCTTTCTACGGGTGACATCAAGTCAAGGAAGACGTGGTTCGTGCTTCCTCATTCCCTTTCAAATGACTAAACATTGCTCATGGATATTTTTATTTGTTATAAACTATTTTTGGGGCTTGCATGCCCATGTTGTTGGCCGGTTGTGGCTTATGACTTACCGTTGAATATTTCCGCTATTCATTGGTTTAATGTGATGTTGTTATGTATGTTTACTACTGAGTATGGATGGATTATATTCTCGAACGCCTTGTGTAATTAAGTGAGGTTGACTCGCGGGTGACATCACTTGGTTATACGGCGGTTGTACACGCGCTTGGATTGCGGTCTGGGGCGTGACAGGCCGACCAGCCGTCAACTACGCCCCGGTCAGCACTGCCATCCCATTCTCCAGATGGGGCATCGACCTCGTCGGCCCTCTACCAAGAGCTCCGGGCAACAACAGATACATCATCGTCGCCATCGACTACTTCACCAAATGGGTCGAGGCCGAACCACTCGCAAGCATCACCGGAGCGCGGTGTCGAAAGTTCGTCTACAAGAACATCCTCACCCGCTTCGGCGTGCCGCAGGAGATCATATCAGACAACGGCACCCAGTTTGAGGCCGAACCGTTCCAAAGCCTCCTCCAAGAATGGGGTATCAAGCACCGTTTCTCCTCCGTTGCCTACCCCCAGGCCAACGGGCAGGTTGAGAACGCCAACAGAACCATCTTGGAGGGGCTGAAGAAGAAACTCGAGGAAGAGGGCGGAAGTTGGGTCGACGAGCTCCCCAACGTCCTATGGTCCTACCGCACCACGCCAAGGAGGGCCACCGGGGAGACACCATTCTCCTTGTGCTACGGCTTCGAAGCCAAGGCTCCCACTGAAGTCACCCTCCCCAGCCGACGGGTCACACAATACGACCCCGAAGCCAATGAAGAAGCCATGAAGATTGATTTGCACCTCATTGATGAAAGGCGGGAGATGGCTTACCTTTGGGCAGAAAACTACAGACGACAAGTCAAATCCTACTACGACGCCAAGGTCCGCTCTCGCGAATTCCAAGTGGGGGACTACGTCCTCCGCCGAAGGGAAGCAAGCAAGCCGACAGAAGGAGGAAAGCTCGCCGTCAAATATGAAGGGCCCTACATCGTCAGCGCCGTCATCAAAGCCGGCACTTATAAACTAAAGAACCCTAATGGGTCAGATGTACCACGATTGTGGAATGTACACCACCTGGTGAAATTTTACCAATGACTCGAGAAGTGGTGAAGCGGGCAACGTCCCCCACCCCTCGGCTTATTGGTTGAATAAAACACCCTCGGCCTAGCGCCACTTATTGAATAAAATTCATGTTTCATCCAATCTTTTAAGATTTGAGCAAAAGAAACCCAAGGACCGCATCGGCCTAAGCGGTGTAATCACCCGGGTCCGGTGCGACCTAAAGCCGACGCAATAAACGACGCACCTAAAGCCGTTGCAATAAACAACGCACCTAAAGCCGTCGCAATAAACGACGCACCTAAAGCCGTTGCAATAAACAACGCACCTAAAGCCGTCGCAATAAACGACGCACCAAAAGCCGTTGCAATACACAACGCACCTAAGGCCGCTGCGATCCACAACGCGCCTACAAAGCCGTTGCAATAAACAACGCACCTAAATATCGTATCGGCACAAGCGGTGAAACACCCAAATCGGCCGGCGATATGCAGGACGAAGGACCTGTGTGCATGGTCCAACGTCTTCAAACGGAGAAGCATACCGCGTCGTCCGCGCGGAAACCGCAGGACGACAGGCCTGAATTAAGGCTGAGGTTACAAAAACTCCACCCGTCAGTAAAATTTCACTCAGGACCACAAAGGGCGGCCGTCAAAAGACGATGCCTCGTCCGGTCCCGCGTCGACGATAGACGTGGAAAGGCCAAAAAAGGAAGCCACTGACACCAAGCCGAGGGCGTATTTACTCCCTCGCACTAATTCACGCGAAGAGCGTAGCGGACAAACTACCGCACACGGACGAAGGGACAGTAACCCTTCGGCCATCTAAAAAAAAAAAAAAAAAAAAAAAAAAAAAAGAGGGAAGCCGACGGACCGTGCACTCACCGGCCTCGAGCAAAAAATAAAATCCCCACAAAAACAAAAGCCTCAATTTTGGCTAAGTACATATCAGGTTTTCACCATACAGGGATCCGAAGTGCACGCTTCGGCCCCAACCATAGCTTCACAAAAGGGATTCGCTTCGGCTTCAGTTATACAAAACCACAGTCCATTACTTGGACGATGGGACGCATCGTCTCCAATTAGCAAAACCCAAGTGACGAACCAAAACAAAACACCTACCTCAAGGAAGCTCGACACTTGCAACATTCTCTAAGTCACACTACAAGAGAGACGATGCGCTACGTCCCCAACACTTCAGGATTAAGTTCCAAAAACTCAACTCGGGAAAGACGTAAAGGCAAAAATGGAATTCATCAAGGGACGACGAGGCGCATCGTCTTCAAAGAAAGGAGGTCGCTACGTCTCAGCGGACGGATATCACAAGATAAGCTCTTGACACTTAGAAAGATCTCAGAACTTTGGGGCCATGCCTTACCTAAGACGAAAGGGACGTAGCGCCGCGCCAAGAAGAAGTTTCAAACACTTGGTAAATTTTTTGAAACAAATGCTCTAAACACAACAGTTCAGACGAAGGGGCGCATCGTCCCTATCATAAGAAGCAGGAAACACGCGCAACGTCCTCACACACACATACCAGTGAGGCGAGGGTGCACCCACATCAACGGACATAATGGAACGCGTCGTCTCAAAATTGGCAAATTTGCCAAGATGAAAAATTTGCGAAGCAAGCTCACTCAGACGACGCGACACCGACAAACCAAACACCAAACATAAAGAGAAAACGAAGCGAGGAAAAACATTCATACTTGAACAAAAAAGTGTTATCATTAATGATTCAGAAAGAGGGCGCTTCGGCCATTAAACACAAGAGGGCGCTTCGGCCGTTACAAAAATCAGGGCGCATCGGCCATCATAACTACAGTCATTAAAAAACAAGGCAGAAAAAAAACACAAGGACATCAAACTTCTTGGGCTGGGCCACCTTCAACGGCCCCACTGTCGGCGTCGTCCTCAACGTCTTCTACGGTCTTTGACTTGGCCGAACTCCGGAAGAGGTAGTCGTCACTCTCGGTCCAGGGCCCGTCCTCCTCGTCTGAACTCAAGATGGGGGGTTGCCTCTCGGATAGTGGGAGTTTTAACTCCTCCTCGGGGTCCTTCATCAGCCGGGGAAGGCCGATACCCCTAGGCTTCAGGTTCTTTACACGCCGGCGGAGGCGGCGGTAAACCAACATCTGCATACGCCTCTGGCCGAGGTCGTACCAGACTTCAAACTCCTCTTTCAGGCGGGCTCGGCCAGCCTCCTCCTGAGACCATGCCTCGAAGCGCTCCGCCACGACCTTAAAACTCCAGTCGCGCCGGGTCTCATCCTTCCACCCTTCGGCCATGAAGAGCTCAACGGCTCTATCAGCAGCCGCTGCCGCATCGGCCTCCAGCTGCACAGCTTTCTCTTCTGCTAGCCGACGGGCAGCCGCTTCTTCGTCCAACTGAGCCTTGAGGCGCCTCGCCTCGTCCTCGGCAGCAGCGGTTCTCTTCTCAGCCGCATCGGCCCTCTCCTTCAAGGAGGCAGTCTCAGTCCGAAGCCGCTCCAACTGGGAAAGCGCCTCGTCAGCAGAAGCGGCTTTCTTCTCAGCTTCACGAAGGCGTGCAAGCTCCTCGTCCTGCCGTCGCTGCTGCTCCATGAGCATGAAAGCACCCTGAAGAAAGATGTAACGTTAGAAAAAAAATGGGGACAAAAATTACTAAGTACCAAATCAGAAATTTACCTGGACGACGTAGTCTAGTCCTCCATCGAAGAGACGCACATCCTTGCTCTGCCGACGTAGGTACTCCCTATCGGCATCGGGAATGGCCTGGAACAGGACGTCGTGCCCGGAGACCTTCTCGTTGAATAAACCGCCCTTAGGCGGATACCGCACCGTCACCTCATAGAGACCGGAGGTCAGATCTCGGTCAGCACGGGCACTCTTCTTTGCAGCAGCCCCAGACTTCGTAGGAACCAGGGCGGACGAGGCGACATTCAATGTCAGATCCTCGATGATGTGCACATCAGAGGCAGCTCCCCCTTGAGCCGAGGCCTGCGTATCGGCCAAGGCAGCATCATTAGGGGGAGGGTTCGGCTTCGTCTTCTTGGCGCCTTCAGCCGGCACCAGACCCGTCTCGGTAAGAGTACGCTGGCCCTCAGCAGCTTTCTTCCTCTTCACCACCGGCCTTTTCGCCGCATCGGCTTGACCCTTGGAGCAGTCACCAGAAGCCTTAGACGCTTCGGCACGCTGGGCAGCCTCCAACTCCTTTGCAACCTGTTTCTTGGCCTGAGCCATGAACATTTTGCGACTCATCTCGTAACCTGCAAGGACGACACCAAAGGAAAAAAGAGTTAGAAGCAAAGAAAAATGCTAAGTACACAAGGATTAAGAGAAAAGCTATCAACCTTCGGCTTCGGCCGGAATCCCAATAAGTGGCCCATCGGCCTGTTCAAAAGAGCCAGAGATCTTCGGCCACAAACCGCAATCAGGGTCGCCAGGAATGTAATACCGCATCATCCCGAGAGCTGCAATCTTAAACTCAGTGATGTACGTGTTCACACTCCTCGGCCCACCTTTTAGGAATGCCTCAACTTGGGCATCGAGCTCAGCGCTTCGCGGCGGATTATGCAGGCTAAAATTACCATTATGCCATTGCGAAGGAAAGAAAACCCCATCGGCCAACTTCACGAATACAAACTTCGCCTTCCACCCATGGATAGACGAAGGGAGGTCTTTGAAAGATTTCTTCTCCGGGAGTTGCTGAAGCGTAGCATAACCAGCACAATTCTTATGGCTCCCTCGGCCGATCCGGAACAAATTTGTAAAAAGAGCCGTCGTGGGCTCAAAACCCAGCTCGTCGCATCGGATGAGGAACCCGACGATCAGTGAGAAACTATTCGGCGTCAACAGTGCCGGGGGGAGATCTACCATCCTCAAGTACTCAATCACAAAAGGGGGCAGCGGAAACCGTAGCCCTTGCGAGAACCCCATCGGATAAACCCCGAAGTACCCAGGAGGAGGATCCAGAACATGGTCCGTCGGCCTAGGCTCCCTCACCTTTCCATAAGGCCCAACATACAG